ATACAGGCTGTTTGGTTGTGAGGTTTTTTGTTGGTTGCTTTTTTTTTTGTTTGGCAGTTTGTTTTGTTTGTTTCCCTTGAACAAGAAGTTTAGTTAGATATTGGGGGGGAGCAGAAGGGTGAACTAAGCATCAAAACAACTTATGTAGGGAGGTTGTGGAATTCTTGTTACTACTGCAAGTTTAAGAACTGGTCATGAAGATGTAGATATATTTCCCTCTGCTTCAGAGGGAATGTATTATCAGAGATCCTTGCAAATCTCAGCATTTTTATAGCTCATGTCTGCTATTAAAAGGTGCATATTTTTCAGGGCCCTGACACAGATTAGTGATGTCTAAATATACAGTAATATAAACTCACCTTCCCACCACATTTTGAGAAAATTTGCTGGTTTGCTCCACAGATTCCAGCTTCCTATCCAGGAGTGTCTCACACTACCCTTCCCAGAGCAATATATTAAGCACAGTGACAAATGCCACCCATTATCATTCTGTTGTTGCAACAAGATCCTAGCTGAACAGCCTATAGAATAAAATCACCACCAAGGATAACACTTCTCAACTGGACAAAGACTCTAGTATCAAGCCAGAAATAAAAAAAATGTAATTTAAAGAACTTCAAAGGAAGCAATGCTACATATCATCAGTATTTTTACTCATAACCAGGGGCTGCCAGTTTGCTAATTCTTAATAAAAGAAGTTGAAATACAAGATTACTTTCATCTTAGTACAAATATAATTGCTTTTAAGCAATTTGCTCAATGTAAGGTTAAAAAGACTGTCAACAGACTCTGCCCTTCATGTCTCTGCCAACCTGAGCTTATCACCTACATATGCTTCTACTCCAACACCATTACAATATGCTATAATATATACAATTATTGCCCGACTGCTGCTTTAGGTAGCTGTGGGGGGTGTGTGCGCCCATTTAATTTTTGAATTATTACCTTACAAGCCTACTCCATGAAGAAGCAAACTTCTGAAATAATAAAATGGGCTTCCTTTAACACCTATAACTCTCAATCAAAATTAAGTCAACAATCCCATGCAAACAGATCCTCTAAATATGACTTAAGGCTGAAGTAAAGGCTTTATTGGGGAGAGACCTCATAAGTCAGGGGATCTGACCTGACAGCTCAGGCCACTGAAGGGGGTAGCTTTGTTCCTTCTTCTCACCCAGCACCAGCTCCTTCTTTGCTCTCACTGTTCCTGCTAATACCTGACCCCAAGATGAGGCAGTGCAACTCACCAAATGAAAAGAAAATCTACCCAGAAAAAGAGCAAGTACTTTGCTGCTGGCTTAGCAAGCTGAACTAGCTCAACCAGAGGCTGAGCACGGCCAAACATGACAAGGAGACAGGAGCACACTGCCGAGAGGATACAAGACTGCTAAACCATCATTTCAAGCTGTGACTAGATCATTTGAGTTTATGAAAATTTACCCCTTCTGTTTAACAAGAGATCACTGTACACACCCAACCTGAGAACCAAAGTTAAGGAGGACTGAAAGGGAAACCCTACTGACAGTGTAGTTGAGAATAACTATATACATATGTAAGTAGGTAAAGCAACCAGATATTCCATCACAACTTAATCTCTCCTTACTAAACTACAGGTTTTTATGTGGGTTTTCTATGGATGCAAGTCAGAAAGCAGCAGTTTTCTGGAGGCCTGCATTGCCTTATTAACACAAAGATAGCTGCCTAGGTTTTATGATAAAACCAACAATGCACTGGCTCATAAATGATGTGCTTTCTATGACACAGAAACCATGGGAACATAGTGATATTTCATAGCAATGGTAAAGTTCAGTGGGAACATGGAAACATGAAAAAGTAAAAGTTCAGCTTCCTTTTTAAAGAGGCAAATACCAAAGTTGGGAGAAAATACCTTTTTGCTTCAGAATGTCTCTTAAAGACAGCCTGAACTGCTGTCCAAAGCTCTCCCTTGTCTCTCTGCCAAACTATTATCACTGTTTATTACTACTCCAATCTCCACACCACTGTCCTAGACATTAGACATAACTTTTGAACCAAGTTCTGTGGAACGACAATCAAGGTTAGGGGAACATCACCAGAAATATTTTTTTTCTTTATATGGGTTAAATATCCCAAGTAGAACACATAAATTAACAGTCTACTTTAAAAGATGACTAACAAATTAACATTGCAGATGCAATGTATTTAGAATTTAAGGGAAACTAGAAGAACCTTAGCACTACTGATTTCAAGATGTGTCCTTTCAAATGGTACCTTTGATTCAATGTTACAATATTTATTCTTAAGTGTTGTTCATGGCTTAAGTGCGACTCTTACTTCATGTGTACTGATCTGCAATGGATTACCAATGCAAGAATTATCTCAATATCCAACAGATACAATTACTTAAAGTCTTGGTGGTTCTTTCACTCATTTTATTAAAAATATAACATTTTCTTAGCAAGAAAAGAAGATCTTAAAAATGGTAAAAAAAGAAAAAAGGCAAAATCATATCTACCTGATACATACACACAACACAGCTTCACTGAATTCAACTCATATTCTAATATGACTTTGCGAAATTGACAACTATAGTCTTAAAGTAATTAGGGAATTTTTTTTAAGGGATACTTAGATAATTATGAACCAACAGTTAAAGCTTGAGTTATTAGCATATGTATTGTGCAGTGGATCCCAAATAGCTTGGTCTTCAACAGATGAAGTCCCTCTCTCCTCCTGCCCCCAGAACCAAGACGGCATGCAGAGTTTGAGAGTTCGTCCTTAAAAGGCAGAATTACATACTGTCAATTTAGATAATAACAGCTCTCTCCCTTTTATGATAGCCACAAGATATCTTTTGATTCTGGAAAGCTCAAATAATCAGTTTGAAAGACTGTCAGCCTGTTTATATGTCAACTTTGTACACAGAAAAAGCAATGACTTGCAACTGAATAGTTTCAAAATAAATTCTAAAGCTGCGAGTATTACAAGCTAAAGACAGACCACCTTCCCCATTCTCATTTAAAGCATTTTTCTTCATTGCATTTCAGTCTATTTCAGCTATTTCTCTAGGTTCACTTTACTAATGTATTACATACACATACAGAATATACACTGTATTTTAAATTGCTATCACTGTAAAAGGCTACTGGAATTAATTCTGTTCTAATAATGTGTATGTTTTATACTACTTGGAGAAAAAAATATTCAACACTAACAGGTACACTTCAAAGCTCTCAATTTAACCATCTGACAAACTAAAATTATCTCAGTTACTGTGTATCCCACCAACAGCTTTAGCATCTTAAAAAGATAAAAAAAAAAATCAAATACTCAAAATTATTTTAGAATTTGAAAAAGTTATTCAGGTCCCTATTTTTAATGAAATTCCAGGCTTTAGTTTTTATTTTTTAGAAGTGTAGCAAGTTGTCTTAGTCATCTCTTGCAAGAATCACATGTATCATTACTAAACTACATAAAGGCCTGCTCTGCAATCTTAGTGAGAGAACTCTTCAGTTACTCTGTATGGAAAAAACCAGATATATCAGAATCCAAACATGGTAATAATTTAAGATACAGATTTTCATAGAAAACTGCCAGCCAGAATACCTTGTAAATAGTAAGCACAGCAGCTGCTTATAAACAGCAAATACTGTTTGATAAAAAATATAGCATGCTGAAAGAAACTATTAAGTACTACTTAAAACTAGACTATTAAAATTCATTAAAGGATGAAACTGAACTTTATATGCACACTTTCCCATATAATTATACAGGACATATCAGATCTGTTAAGTCACAGTCAACAGATAACCACATAGCCTTTATTCTCCAGTTGGTGCTTACACTTTTTACTGAGGAGAAGTGAAATGGACACTAGTTTAGAACACCATAGATTCAGATATAATTCCTTGCTCATGCACAAGCTTCCTGCACATCCTCGTGTATGTCACTAGTTCTCTGTGCCTTCAACCCACATTGAATGGTGGGCTAAGAGCAAAAAGATTTCAAAGTAGTCACACTCCGGCAGCAGAGTCCTAGGTATGTAACAAACACCCGCTTTTGGAAACATAAAACAGAAAACTGACAACCATTGTACCTGCGTTTACATATATCAGGAGTGACACAGGTTCACCCAGCATGACAAATTCTGAATCCTCCTCTAAATCCCATAAAACCAAGGACCTTAAGAAACAACAAGCAGAAAGTGTTTGCTCACAAATGTGGTGACCCAAAAGATCAAATCCATGCTGTTAGTCCTGCATCAAATAATGACAGGTAAAGAGTCTCTACCAAGTGCATCAATGGTTCTTGCCTGTAAAAGCAACTTTATCCGTGTTAATTATCTGACATTTAAAATTCAGCTCACCCCACTGCTCCCATTTAAAAACAATCCCCAAACCAGTTCACACTTCAAAGTCACAGTGAAGGCCTAAAATTACAGTTAATATTGTAGCCACTCAATCAAAGCTAGAAAGATTCTGGAAGCAGGGACTGACACCACAGTAATTATGACAGGCATCAGTATTTAGCAAACTCAGACCTGAAGCAGCAGGTGAAGGAGGCCCAGGGTTGCCTTACCAATGGAAAGCCAACCTTCACTCTTGCACGCCAAGGAGGACCCAAACAATCGCATCCCTCCAAAGGCTCAAACAACCGTTGGTGACACCGTACTTGACGTGGGCCGCTAGTACGGAGCCAGCGCCGGTCCCGTCACACAGCCCTCCAAGCCAGGCCTTCACTGCCCCTGCCCTAGCCGCTATGCCGCAGGGCAGCTAATCGGGAGAGCAGCTCAAATCCCAGCCACAACCGGGCCGCAACCGAAAAGCTACCAGGCGCAAGGCCGCCGGGGGGCAAGGGGGTCGGAGGAAAGACGGCCCAATTGGGCGGCCTCGACCCCCCGCCCACGGTGCAGCTCCTGCGGCGGGGCTCCCACGCTCCCCGGCAGCCGTCGGACACTCGGCGGGCTGGCAGCGCGCAGTCCCCACCATTCCCCCCTCAGCCCAGAGACCGAGCCCCGGTACCTTGCGGACCCCCTTGTAAATGTAGAAGTAGAGCTCCCGGCCCACATTGAAGCAGAGCCGGTCCCCGTTGCCGCTCTGGTCGTTGACGTTGACGAAGGAAACGCGGACCGGGTTGGAGCCCTGTGAATTGAAGGGCACCCGGTTAGGTCGGCTGTACTCCGAATGGGTCAGCAGCTTGTACAGCCCCTCCCGGGTGGTGAACTGAGTCTTAATCTCGTTCATCTCCTTCCCTCCTCCCTCCGCCGCCATCTTGGAAAGGAGCATTCATCCTGCCCCAGTGCCCGGATGTAGCGGCACTGCGCAACCGTCACCGCCGCCAGCGCTCGCACGGCAGTGCACGGAGGCGGCCACGCAAACGACGTAAGGGGGAGGAGCGGCGGCGCCTGTTTACTGCGGGGCTGCGCGCACGCCGGGTCGCTTCGCCTGCCCTTGGGTGGGCCCTCGCGGGGGAGGGCGGGGCACCGGGTGGCGTGGGTACCTCGCTGTAGTGCTGGGGCGCGGAGGGGTAGAGGTGCCGGGGAGCTGCTGCGGAGGACAGGGGGAGCCGGGGTGCGGGCTCTGGCTGGAGGGTGTGAGGAGGAGCTCTGGGCGCTCACAGGGACCCTTTGCCTCGGGACGTGGGCGGTGCGTGGGGTGAGGGCGTAACCGGCACCGCCTGAGGGGCCGCGCTGGAACAGGAGGTGTCCGCCTGTGCTGGGGCAGAGCCGCTAATGCGAGGCTCACGGTTCCCGGGTGAGAGGTCAAAGTGAGGCGCCGTCGTCCTCGTTGTGTCCGTGGGCGGGTTTGTCCATACGTTACTGCCGGAGCATCCACCAGCGCCTGCAAGCCTGGTCAGGTGTGGCTGCTAAACCCCGCTGGGAGCGTCCCGCGGGTAAATCAGTTTAGGCAGCAAATGCAAGTGTGCAGCTGTGCTTTGACGCTTCATGTCAAGCCCACGCTGCCCCTGAAGAAGACAGCGTAGGAATTCCTCCGGCTCTGCGCCACCTCCAGCTGCCAGCTGCACTCAGAACCAGGCTGGGGAGGTGACCTGAAACGGTAACCTGAAAAACTGGTTGTCAGATAACTCACCTCATTGTTCTGATCATCGTGCAACTGTACAAGCAGCTGTGTTACACAGCGAACCACATCAACGTCAGGTGGAAGTCGTGTAGGGTTGGAAAGATTATTTTCACTGGGCAGAAGCAGGACTGCTTCTTTTGGCAGCAGTCTCAGCTTAAAGAGCTTGACTAACGAGAGCCTCATGGTTGACTCAGACTGATCTCCATCTGTAAGAAAGGGTTCGACTCCTATCTTCAGGTACATATTTCCATTACCTCCCTTGTAACCCTTGTACCCCTTGTAACTAGAATCCCATGGTTCTAGTAACCATGGAACCAAAGGGTGAGTCAGATCCACTTGAAAACTAACACAAAGAAATTACAGGTTCTTGGGTAAGCAAACTGTTGATCAGCAGCCAGACCAACACAACTCATCACAGAATTGCTAGGGTCAAAATAAAGAGGGACTTGGGAATGCGCAACCAGGGGAAGACAAGCAGCACAGAGTTAGATCACCATATTAATAGTAAAAACACACTTTAAAGGTATAGTTTCATGCTGTAGTTGTGTTGCTGTAATGCAGCTGCTACCAAAGGCATTGTCTTGCTCTCTACTTTCTTGACTGCGACTGTCTGCTGCTGCTACTTCCCTCCCAAGCAGCAGTGCTCATCTGGCCCGTAATGAGCCATTTCTGAAAGATAAAAGGATAGAGAATTAAACTCCCTGAAAATGTGAAATTAATAGAGTTAAATGAAAAACATGGACTGTGTAAGTGCAGGGACAGGAATGCACAACAGAGCTGGAGGGAAGGAGGACCTCCTTTCCACTAGGTCAGCTCAACAACAGAAATCCATTCAGACTGCAGGGAGTTAAAGGGATTTCAAATCAATTGTTTCAAATTAATTTAGTTCAAAGAGACTTTGAGCAGCTTAATACTCTCTTGCTGCTGACCATCAAAGTAGTAGTACAAGGTAGCTGAGAGATATGAAACAGCCAAAGTTCTGCAGGTTAATTCATGCAGAGCAGAGTATGTATCTGAGTAAATACCTGTACAAGTACAAGCTAATCAAACCTCCAAAAGGTGGCCAGGTATTGAAGCCTTGCTTGAAATTCTTAATGTTAAAACCAATCAGTAATAGCCAATAGATTTTGTCAGGTTATCAGCCAGCCTTGCTAGATGGTATTGATAATCTAAAAGCACATAAAGTAGGTGAGCAGATCTGCAATTATATTAAGAATTGGACTGAGCATGGTTCTTGCATGTGGAAATTTCACAAATGGACTTCCAGAGAGAGGGCAAGAATGTTTTCAGTCACCAAAAGAAGAGCAGGAAGTGCAAGAATCTCTTCATAATCATACTAAGATTTAAAAAAAAAAATACTACTTTAAGCAGGCATACTCACTGTATCTTATTCATTACACACTGACAACATTGGATAGATCACTTTGAAGAACAAAGCAGGCAACTTTGTTAGAGGAACCATGTGGAATGCAAATTGTACTGTAACCACAGCAGGCCCTCTATCACCAATGGAATGAGTGTGATCCAAAGAATAAACAAAGCTAACAAGTACCTGGTTATCAGCAGTACATGATGGTGCAGAAAGTCAAAGAATTGATGGAGTGTTTAACATTTACCAAGAAACATCAACAGAAGCTGCTGAGAGATTCCACTGAGAATCCAACACATTCATTTGAAAAACACAGCTGCAAGTCACAAGAACACTATTGTACAGCACCACCACCAATAGTCATCAAATACTTGGTCAAAGAATGAGAAAAGGAGATTACAAAGATAAGCCTTCTGAAAAAAATTCTCTGTACCACTCATAAATTCTTCTGTTTCAAGCTAACCAAAGATGATAGTTCTGAAATGATCCCATGAGGACACTGCTAGATGTGCTGTTTTCTATGCACTATGTAACCAGTAAATACAGATCAGTCAGTATCGTGCTGCATCATGCATTTGCTTCTCATAAATGTTTTGGCAAATTGAAAGAAGGACATGAGAAAAATTCACTCATTAATGCATGAGTGAACAATAAAACATTAATAGTGTGGTCCTTTGAGATTGACGTATGCAGGGCATAAATTGGTCCTGCAGCTTTTCAGGATGTAGTGTTGTGCTTTTGCTGGCCACAAGGAAACTACAGCCTTAAAACTTAATGCAATACCGTACTGTTATCAACAAAACTTTTTGCTGCTTTGAGTGCTGTTACTTGCTGAAAAGTGCAACAACTGATCTTAGTGATGCTTTTACCAGAGAGGATGGTGACCACACCCATATTCCATAATGCAAACAGTATCTATTCTGGTGTGCACTGCCTGCAGATTGCGATATACAAATCAGGAGACCATCTTTGCAGTGTCTGTCAACCATAGTTAAGTCTGACAAGTCTTGCTTGGACTTCTGATGCCAAAACCAGTTTAGGCATTTAGTGTGTGACTGGCTTAAGAGTTCTAAGGTTCAAAAACTTTGCAATGTGTCAAATTTTAACAAATTATGAATATGTGTGAATTACTAACAGGCAGAGGCATAGAAACATAAGTGACACATCTGAACTACTTAAAAGATTGATGCTGATGAGGGGAATGGCATGCAAGTTCTATTTAGTATGGGGAGAAGAAAAATAATTACAGTGTTGGAAATCTGTTTCCAATGACTTACATGGATTTTAAAGTACTTCTAACTTGCTTTCATCATAAGAAAATATTGTTTATGGCTTAGTTTCATAGCACTTCATTTGCGTTAAGAATCTTTTCTTAACCACTACATACATTCAACACGAAATACATGAGATAATGCATTATGATGTATATTACGAAATGAAAAGCTGTTACCAAGTTTCTGCTATGCTAGAATACATTGCATGTTGTTTGTATTCTCATCCCTCCTCCGCAGCAAGAGCGTATGAAACATTTTGTTTTCATAGTTGAAGAGGGTTATTACTTAAATGGGTATTTTTACAAAACAGACATTTGGATTGAACAAGACAAGGTAAAAGAAGTCTGCTTTGCAGTTGGGATTGGATAACAGTGAATTCTGTTGTGGTTTTGGAAGGCTTCATTTTGGTGTTTGCACTCAGCTCTCTCCAAGTTGCCTCTGGAACAGACTACCATACCTCCATAGTGAAAATGCTGCTCTTGTCAATAACAGTGCTTATCTTGAAGCTGTAGCTGTCCTGGAAATTATGTTCTCTGAAGATAAGACTGAGATAATTAATTTAATTTAAATTATATGGAAAGCCAGAGAGATTGGTTGTGGTATGTCTGCAAATAGCTTGTGTTTCTAAGATGTACTACAGCATTATGTACTTTTCAAAACTCCCTAAATATGGAAGACATCCATACACAGTATTGCTGTAATCCGTGTGAAGAATGAGAAAGCTATGCATTACTAAGGTCTGACTGTTGGCCAGCAGCAATGATTGAGTTTCTTACAGAACTGGAATTTCTAGCCAGTGATACTTCTCAGTGCTGCAGTGCGAGAATGTAGTGCCATCGAGAAGGTTGAGAACACTCCTAAACTGCAGTCTTCAGTAGACTCTTACGTATTTTTAACTTAAGCAACAAAAGATTCAGTACATAAATGTTTCAAAATTATTTTCTATCAGAATCAGCTATTTAACTGAACTGGTTTTCATTGGGAAGCTTGTGGTTATGTTACGATAATACATGGTTACTGATAGGTGTTGTAGGTCATCCAAGCAATCTGTACTTGGTGTAGCAGTTAACAGCCACCCATGCGAGCAAAGTTGTTGCTATTGTGTGTTTTAAGACTCCCTAAGCAGAACAGGAAATAAGGAAAGCTGAGACAGGTGTCCTTGGAAAGAACAGACTAACAGCCAAGGAAAGGGAAGCATTACCAGCCTAAAACAAAGAAGTGAGTAAGATCTAAAAAGTGAATCGAGAGCCTCTGAGCATTTTGCACTTAAGAGAGGTATGTTTATGATGTCTTAGATTTATCCTGGGTTCCTCAATCTCCTCCATGTCATCTTCCTAACTGATGATGATATCCTTCTCTGTAGCTTTGGTGTGTTTCTCAAAGAGAAACTGAAAACTTGTTAGCACATTCTACTTTCCCTTATCACCTTTCTCACATGAGGCAATATTATCTCAAAGATGTTGCAGAGAGCTTCAGAAGAAAATGGCTATCTGCTTTCTGTCTAGTCATAGAAGAAGATTCTCCATCAGTGTAATAAGTATAATTTCAGTTCCATGGCTGGAATGACTATCTCCAAATTGATTTGGATGAAGCATTGAAGTTTTAGATAAATAATCTTCTAATGTGATATT